TTAGTTTGAGCATCATCCCTGTAGCTTCTAGTAAAATTTTCCCTGACTACCAAACGCTCTTATCAGGACCTACCCCCCATGGCCTCTCCCACTTTTGTGCTTCTTAGCACTTTGTGCATTAATTCCTTCAAAGTGGATTATAACACTGAACATTAATTTTTTTTTCTTATTTATCTCTCTAACTGGGCTGAAATTTCCTTGGGAACAAGGCCTGGGTTTTTTACCTGTATGCCTAGAGTAAGTACACAGATTTGAAACGCAATCCAGAGAAATAATAGATACTGTTTCATCAATAAGAATCAAAGCAAAGTTTTTCTTAGTGATTTTCCCCTCCAAATTTTATTAAATAGTTGACTCAGTTTCTTACATTATACAGTTTTACTGCAATATTTTTGATTATGTCATAGACTATCAGTTATATATTTATATTCATATATCTCACATTCAAATTCACATTTGTTCCCAGAAAGCCTGATCCTAAACCCAACTGGAAGCTCTGCCACTATCTCTTTAGGCTTCTTTGATGATCCTGTATTCATTTCTACTGAGCTGTCACTTGCTCAAGTTAATTACCACAGTCTTTATTCACTTGGTGCTTATCTCTTCTCTACAGTTAGCTCCAGGATGAGCTCATGCTTTTGAAAAAGGCTGAATTTACTTAATCCTGCAGACCCAGGGGCCTTGACCCCCTCTGTTTGGTGCTTCCAAAGGCTTAATACTCTCAAAAGAAGATTAGTTGATTAGTAGCCCTGCTTATTGGCTGCCTTTTTGCTCTAAATGTACCCAATAAATCAGAGAAGATGGGAGAAAATGGAATGTTTAGTAAAATAAAAATACATTTTTAAAATAAATAAAATTGTTGACAAATTAAAATTTGAAGTAAATTCTAAAATAATAAATAGTAAATTTTCAAAAATCACCTTTCCTATTTACTTTTTATAACTCCTAAAATTCCCAGCATTGCTACACCCTTCAGATGGCCAGAAGCCCTGGGTGTGAATGATGGCTTAAACACATTACACCATGAGCATACCATTAGTAGCCTTTCTAGTCTGAAACAGAAATCAGATCTATGCCAGACACCTACAACAGTAATGGGTTTGTGGCCCTTTATTAATATGTCACTGAAAATTCTTTGTCAGAAGCTGAGTATTAGTTACTCCTTTACTCCTCGTGTTATTATAGTTTGGCAGAGACTGTGAACTTGGTACCAAGACCAACACCAATGAACAAAAATTATAATAACCACATTGGTTGCTTTTTATGGTGACAAGTTTTTGGAAATCATAACACTTTTTATTTTAGAATACTTGCTTCTTTTTCTAAAGAGCAATATTTACTTCAAACATCAGACCAGGTACAGTGGCTCACACCTATAATCTCAGCCTCTCTGGGAGGCTGAGGCAAGAGAATTGCTTGAGCCTAGGAGCTCGAGACCAGCCTGGGTAACACAACGAGACCCCAAGTCCACAAAAAATTTTTTTAAAAAATTAGCCAGGTGTGGTGTTGCGCACTTGTAGCCCCAACTACTGAGAAGGCTGAGGCAGGGGGGTTGCTTGAGCCCAGGAGTTTGAGGCTCCAGCCTCATCATCATAGCAGTGAGCTATGATGACACCATTGCACTTTAGCCCAGGCAACAGAATGAGACTCTATCTCAAAAACAAAACAAGAAAACCCCGCAAAACTTGTTTGAAGAAATTCACAAGACTATGAAAATAAAACTAATTTTCAAAAGAAGCCTAAAATTCAAAGTTGAAAATTATGGGTGAAAATAAGACCTTCAATTGACTCAGTTATTTCCTTTTTATAGACTGTATAAGATTCCCACCCCAACAGAATAGTTTTCAATATGCCAGAGGGTAGAAATTGTGTGGTGGTGGCCATTCATCGCTCAAAGGTTTGAATTATTTTTCTCTATAAATACATAAAGATATGTGAGTTCTATCTGGGGTTTTAATAAACAATAGTCTTAACATCTTAATAAATAAACAAAGAATAGTTTCTATAAATATGTCAAAGTTGACTCAGGCTTAAAACTTCCCTAGACATTGAGAAAAGAATATTTCCTAGGGTTAGATTTTCTCTTACATGAAGCAAATAATGTGTTCTTATATGTCAGTATTAGAGTCACTGGGTAGGTTGCTTCTGCTGTAGCACAGTGGTTTCTGCCCAGGGTTATTCACTATTTTGATGGCTATTCATTATTTGACTCATATTTGCTCCCAAGCTTCTAGAAAAAAATAAATTAGGAAAAAGTTCCCTTTAATTGCATCTCTCACTAGTCACTGAAAGGCGTATCTCACTTCATGTATACTATGTTGGAGCTGGAAAAGGTATTAGAGAACAACTAATCCAACTTTCACCTATTCAATTAGAAAATAGAGTGCTAGGAAAGTGAAACAACTTGCTCAGGAACATAAATTTAGATAATGACAAAACTGAGTCTGCCCATTACTTTTAACCAGTACTCTTTCCACTACTGACAAATAATAATATGTTAATCAGTAATCATATGTAATCAATAATAATATGTAATCAATAATAATATGTTAATTTTGTAAAGCCAAATTGTATTTCCAATGCAACATAGAGGTTGCAATTTAACTCTTCAGCAGAACCCTCCAGTAAAAACAGATTTGTCTCGTAATGAATAGTTTTTGCCCTAATTTATTTTATATGGATGCTTAAATATCTTTATCTAAGCATTGAGGCATACCCATGTTCCTTTTGCAGGTTGGGGAAAAATGCAAAGGTGGGAGCCTGGTGGATGAGAGAGGTGAGAGTCAGAGTGTAAAGCATGGAAGGTAGGTTTGGAAGCATTTGTTCAAGGAATACTTTCTCCTTCGAATAGACAATCTTAGGTCATTTCCATGGGCATATGCTAATAGCTTTACAGCTCCACAAGTCCATTTCTCTAAAACATTCCACTCAGACAGCATTGTAAATAGAAATATGATTCTGTTTACAGTGGGAACCGATCATGAAAAAAATACATAGTAACACACGATAACTGCAGGATTCTCCACATTCTAGTAAATTCAAAGGTTCAGTCAATCTACCAAAAAAAAAAAAGCTTGCTTCTTGGTCACTGTTTAATATTCAATATGAACATTAATTATATTATGGAGCATAAGAGTTTGCTGTGCATTAAAAGATACATAAAATTACTTTTCTGTGAGACATGTTTAAAAAAAGATACATAAAGTGATTCAATATTAATGTTGATAGTGAATCAGATATGAAACAGTAATAGGAATCATTGAAAGTAATGTTCCATCTATATGCAGTGAATACTATGTCTCAGTGAATATTATGCATATTTATAAGAACACATAGGCAAAAATTAGTACCAATGCCAAACTTTCAACAAACATTTATTGATTACTCACCAAATGCCAAGGAGTGTGTCATAGGACTACAAAATGCCTGGCAAACTGATGTTGCAATCATTCCAGAGTCAATTATTCACCAATTAATAAAGTAATATTTATTTACTACAGGAGAGTACAAAATAATTTTAAATGATAAGTGGGCTAAAGGTATTTGTTAAAATTGTTGAGAAAGTCAAGTTGCAATTCTCATAGCTGCAAACATGGAAAAGAAAATAACTATGCATCATCTCATGTTTAAGGAGCTTTCAGTGCTTTTCAGCTCTCTGTGCTCTATTCCTCTGGCTTTCTATAGAGTAAAGAGGAAAGAACAGGTTAATAGCAATAAATAGTGTCCAGCACTAAAAACTATCCTCCTCCCCCAATGCTGGTCCAATAGACAATACTGATTCTCTATTTGCAATCTAACTATTATGACTTAAGAGCTACAAGTTTCTTTTTTGTGCATTAAAAAATAATAATATGTGCTTTTGACAGCAGGGTATAAAGCTCCTTGGCGGGTTCATTTTAGTCACTAGACAATATTGTTGGAAACAAATTTATATGCTATAATGTTATCATCTTAAAAATTATTTTGAGGCTATTTCTAGATTGGAAGTCATCAAAAAGGATACCTGAGCTTGTAAGAGGCAAATGTCATAGATGACCCATTGAACAACACAAACTTCTATGTGCCTTGAAGGATGGAGAGTTGCAAAGGGGGCACCTTTGTTTCCTTTAAATAATGAGGGATCATATGAAAGTTAATCAAATTCATTCATAAAAAGAGGAGAAACAACCCCTACTTCTCTGTATCAGGTGGGATTGTTGGGTTAAATTTTCTAGCAAGTAAAATATTTGTTCTTCTTCTATTTATTCAATCTTGACATTTAGGATTCCCTCCAGAACACTAGCCTGCCTAAGAACAACCAGGGAGTCTTAAAGATTTTGCTCCATTTATCTAAGAAAGAATGCGAGCTAATAAATAACCCCTATGTCCCAAGGGCTTTTCTGTCTAGCAATCCAACTACTTCTATCTAAAGAACAATGAGAAACCCCCCTGCCTCACTGCAAACCTGTCTTCCTCTCCCAGGACCTGTATGTACATTAATAAAGGTTAACATTACCTGCCAGACATTGTTCTAAGCATTTCATATATATTAATTCATTTGATCCTTACAACCAGCTTGTGAGGTGGATACTTTTAGTATTTCCATTTTACAGATAGGAAAATTGAGATAAAGAGAGGTTAAATAAATTGCCCAGAGCCACACAAATAGTGAATAATAGAGCCAGGATTCAAACCCAGACAGTTTGATGCTGGAATCTACATTCTTAACCATACATTTTTCACTCTGAATAAGCACGTATAGAATCAGTATCTCTTTGAAGGAAATGATGTTCTGGATATTAAATTAAGTTTAACATATCCCGTGTTTTATCTATATCTCCTAGCTCAGATCTCTCAAAACCTCTGCATTGTTTACAGAGAAGAGACCATTGTCAGTCTACAAGAAAACACCTGTTTTACCCCAGTTTAGTCACAAACTCTATTGTCTCTCTCTCTCTTACTCCCTTGAGTAAAGATTCTTTTTATCTCCATCTCTTAAACCAAAATAACTCGGTTCTCACCTTTCCAGGCATGAGTGGGGCAGAGCTGCGAGTCCTTTGCACATTTTGGCAACTGGCTCAGCTCCTCGGCTTTGAGTAAAACTTCTTAACAGCAGAGAGAGTCTGGAACCTTCAACACTGTCTGGGACTGCCTTTCCCTCTGAGGAATATATAGAGGCTCTTCCCCAGCCCTCTGTCGCCCTCGGACCAATCCAGAGCCTTGCAGGAAACTGCAGGCTGGGAGCGGTGGCAGGCAGGCACGAGGCGGAGGCTGGAATCTTTCTCTGCTGCAGGCTTTCAACTGCTCTTATCACAGCACTCTTGCCGATTCAGTAGATTCAGTCTTCTGTCGGGGCAAGGTTAGGCCTGAAGTTGTGCACAGTTCATTTGTGTTTGAATTCGTGATCTCAGGCCAACCACAGAGACCACGTGGGCTTTCTTGTGAGGCAGAGTGTGGCGGGCCACTTCAGCTCTGTCAAAGTCATAGATTATCAGGACTGCAAGGGACCTTGGAGGTCATCGTTTAGCCCAGCTTTGTTTCACAGTGGAGGAAATTGAGATTTAGGAATTCAGGGAATGTGTACGTGTGCTAGGCTGGATGCTAAGAATTCAGAGAAGGAAGGGGCACTCCTGCTCTCAGGACCCCAAAACATACTTGTCAATACAATGTGAGTAAGTAACGGAAGCAGGCTTGGGATTTTTTGAGCCTTCAAGGGGTACCAGGCAATTTTCTCTGGAGCTAAGGGATGGAGGAGATAAAATTACTACTTATATAAACCAAAACACTTACAAATAATTACTATATACTCTTTATGAATCCATATGTAGGTGAAGGTATTAAAAAATGATCTGAAAAACCACACACCAAAACCTAAATAGAGACTGAATGTGATGAAAGTGGGAAAAGAATAAATGATCCCATCCATAAGATATTACTGGTCCCCCAAAACAACTTTCCTAATTCTATAAATGGTTTTCTGATTATTCTTTCCTCTGACAACTACATTAGGTAATTCTTTGGCTGCCACCATCTGCCCCATCGAGCCAGCCATTCTTGGCCAGCCCTGTCTTCCCTTCACCTTCAGCTTTTTCCTGCCTCACATTAAGAAGTATTTCCACCAAAATGTACATAATCGGGGTACAAGGCGCTGATACGCTAATACGTGAATGTAAATGTAAATGCCTAAAAGGTAGGCATGAGTCCAAGCTAAAAATAAGCAGCATTTCATAATCTGTAAGAAAAGCTCTGAATTTGGAATTAGACATCATTCTCATAACTTTGTTATCTGAAATTATTTGTTTTAAATAACTCTTTTCCTGTACACTTTTTTTTTCCAAACTTTGATCAAGACCTGTCATCGGCTTGTAAAACATGACCTGTTGTTTTAAGTCAAATAAATAGAATAAACATCCAAGTACATTGCATGTAGAAAGTTCAGTATTATTTGCTGAAATTTTTGCTCTAATAATCAATATGCATGTGTGCACAAGGTCATTAGGTAAACTGTATTTCTTAGTATGGGTCATAATCAAAAAGGTTTAAAAGCCCTCTCTCTCTCTCTCTCTCTCGCCATATATATATATACATATATATATATATACACATATATATAACACACACACACATACACATATATGTGTATATATATTTTTTAACAAGAAACTCTATAATATTCACCTTTGCACTCCCAGCACTAAGCACAATGTCAGGCACGTAGACATCTACAAATACTGCTTGAACTAAACACAACTGTCCAAGTTCTGCCATATACTCACTAAATAAACATTAGCAAATCAATTAATCATTTTTTAAAGAGATATGAAGGCTGTTGTTTGACCGCTGAGTCTAATAGTGGAAATATAAAACTAGCAGAAGAGAGTCCTTAGGAAAAGAGCCTAAATCACTGATTAATACCCCTGGGGCTTTGAGAAGATAATAATATGGGGTAGGGGGAAACACATTTAATGTAGGGCAATAGAGGGTGACGTCTCGGCTGGGGCTAAACAATCAAAACACGGTTCTGACTGTCCCAAAAGAGTTTATGTGCTGGACTATTCAAGAATCAAAATTATCACAATCTTACTAAAAGATGGACTAGAATTCAAAATGTAAAATTCAATAGAAATAAATACTAAATCTAACCTATCTTTGTTTTTAAGCCTTCATAGAGATGAAATAGCCAGAGAGCATGCATAAGAGCATGCTCTAGAAGCAGAATGTAAAAGGTGGTTGCCAGGGGCCAAGGGGAGGAGGAATTCAGGAGCTGCTGCTCAATGGGTATAAAGTTTCAGTTGTGCAAGACAAAAATTTTTCTAAGGATCTGTTGTACAATATTGTAATATTGTGTCTATAGTGAACATTACTGTACTGTACACTTAAAAATTTGTTAAGAGGATAGCTCTTGACAGGGTCTCACCCTGTTGCCGGAGCTAGAATGTGGTAAGGTGATCATTCATAGCTCACAGCCACCTCAAACTCCTGGGCTCAAGTGATCCTCCTGCCCCAGCCTCCTGGGAAGCTCAGACTTCAGGCGTACGTTACCACACCCAGCTAATTTTGTAATTTTTTTGTAGAGATAGGGTCTCACTATGTTTTTCAGGCTAGTCTCAAACTCCTGGCCTCGAGCAATCCTCCTGTCTCAGTCTCCCAAAGTGCGAAGATTAGTGCTAACCACCATATACCCAGGTGATAGCTTTTATGTTATGTGTTTTTTTAACCACAATAAAAAAAAGCATGTTCATGTAAAATAAATTTGAAGTCTTCTACAGATAATTGAACTATTTTTATCTTCTTTCCCTCCTGAGCATCCCTCAAAATGACAGCACATGTATGAAAAAGGTATACAGCTAAAATAGCAAAGAGAAAGAAAAACAAGCCATCACAATTTGAGTGATTTCAGCCTCTTCATGGAAAGTGAAAGGGTGGTTAGGAGAAGTGACTAATGAAACAGAGGAAGAAATTCAGGGATGCTCCACATCAGTCTGCCCTGAAGGATGTCGCAGAGGCCTGGACTCCAAAGTGCTGGATACCACAGGAGTCAAAAGTTAGCCATGCAGGTGGAAGTGGTGGGAGATGCTGAATGTTTTCATCAGATGAAAGGGTCTCCTGTCCACACAACCGCTCTGATTCATTTCTAATTCATTTTCTTAAATTGTGTATAAATTTCTTTTCTAAAACGATTACCAGCAATATATTTACTGAGATGCATGTTACAACTTCCAATCTGGGGCCCTCTGGGACTATGTGATCATGGTAAACCGCTATCTACCTGCTCATTCATCTCCCTGATTACTTGCAGGGAGTTTCACCCCACGGCTAGCTCGGAGCACACAACCAACAAAGAGGCAAAGATTTCACCTTACATGTTGCTTGATTGCTTGATTTCTTCCATTCTTTCTGATAAATTTTTAAAAGTATATACGAGCTCAATTTTTAATTCTGCCACCCAGAAGTACATAATGTCAACAGGTTGTGATGTCGCTTGCAGGCTTTTTTTTTTTTTTCTTTAAAGAGATAAAGAGGCAACGGATAAAACTAAATTCCTTTTGAATGACCACTCCCATTCCCATTCTTTTCCCACTTTCATCACATCCAATTTCTATTGAGATTTCGGTGCGTGGTCTTCCAGACCATGTTTTATTATTTTCAAAGCCATATGTGCTATGGTCTGAATGTGTCCCTGGAATTCATGTGTTGAAACTAAATCACCAGTGCATTAGGAAATGTGGCTTTTAATCAAGCCTTGAGGCTGGAGCCCTCGTGGATGGGATTAGGGTCCTTATAAAAGCTTGAGGGAGAGAGTTCATTCTTTTTTGTCGTTCTTCCACAGTGTGAGGACACAGCGACAAGGTGCCATCTCAGAAACAAAAAGCAGCCCTCATCAGACACCACACCTGCCAGCACCTTGATCTTGAACATCCCAGCTTCCAGAACTGTGAGAAATAAATTTCTATTGTTCATAAAGCATCTAATCTCAGGTACTTTGTTATAATGGCATAGTCCCATCAGACTAAGACAGTATGGATTCATAAAAAATATATACTAATTAACTGTGTGTGTTCTGATTTATATAAATAGTAATATAAACCACATCTTACTTTTGTCATTCGCAAGTATGAACTTTTTTGTTTTTAGATTTTAATGATTAGCTAACATGATACATATACATATGCACTCTTTAAAACACTTTTTATACATTTATATATTTAATTCTCACAATGAAAGCATGAGATAAGTGGCATTAAGTGTTGCCATTTCAAAAATGAGAAAACATTCTGATCATATAAATGAAGATGAAATTATTGGGGGTTAACAAGCATCATCACTAACATAGCAAGTATAGAGCCTACACTGTATCTCTCGTTTATGTTATTTAATTGCTGGAGAGAATTCTAGCATATGCAAATATAATGGTATCTTTTGTGGACCTGTTGTTGAATATTTGGTCATTTCCAATTTTTTGCCTCTGGTAAAAGTACTTAAATTAATATACCTATATATGTCTCCTGGAACAGTTTCCCTATAATGTAGTTCATAAAGTGGAATTGCTAGATTGTGATGCATAACACTACAAAAGCATAAGTGATGAGACCAGTTTAGATTCCCAACAGAAATGTATGGAAGCATCATTTCTCTTTCATTTTTCCTAGTTCATGACATTTGCCAGGCTTTAATTTTTGCCAGCGACAGACAGAAAATACCATGTCATTTTAATTTGTACCTTCTGATTAAAAGTGAATTTGAGCTTCTATTCATATTTATACTGACCATTGGAATTTTTTTCTTCCATTAGTTGTATATTCCCATTGTTAAAATAATCTTGCAATTTCACGATTTGCCTTTTCAATATTGATATGTAAGAATTCTTTATATAAATAATGAAACTAAAAATGGAAGAGGGGAGAAGAGAAAAATAGAATTAGATCATTGACTGCTATATAGGCAATAGATTAGAGTTAAAAGATACCAATAAAATTAAATAAACCACATAAAAACAGGTTAAATAAGAAAGCAGGAGATGAAAGCCACTAAAAAGATGTATGTACAAAGATAACCATTAGAAAAAAAAATGAAAACTTTCCTAAATTCCAAAAATAAAAAATTAAAGATTAAAGAGCAAAGAATACACAGTTCATCAAGAAAGAAAAATAGGAAATATCACAAAAAACATAATTATACAATATTATGACAGAGTTTTGAGACCAAACATGTAAGTGATATTAATGAGTGTTAATGTGCATAAATTTCCTATTAAAAAAGAAGTTTTAATTAGGCTTACAAAGTAAGACTCAACCAAATTCTGTATACAAGGAACATGCCTAAAACAA